ATAAATTCAGCTTAATGTAAACAGTTTGCGTCTCGAGAGAACTGTTAGGTATTATGTTTGCCATAACATAAAAGTAACAAATTGGTAGAAACTTGTGTTTCCCCCATGCCTTCCTGGAATTATTTTGAATGAACTCGAGCATATACTTTGTTGTTGCTGCTGTTGGTATTTTTGAAAAAATATTGCTCAAGGCACCAAGCGTGATATACGAGTCAGTTCTTCCAGCTGGAGCTTAGTAAAATAAAGACCAGTGAACATATATATCATGTAATACTAGCTGTTAACGGTGACCTCATTCGCATAAATAATCAAAATTTTTAAATTAACGCAGACATAATCTGAATCTTGCATTGTAAATATACCTGCCTAGTACCCAACTGGAAAAAGTAAATACACTGACTGACAAAAAAAGGTATACATCTACTGGTTGTTTCCCTCAACCTAAACGCTAATACTATTTAGCAACAGTCTCTCATACGACTGTAAGTTAATTTAAAATCACTTTGCACTATAGTTGCTATTTCTTCTCAATGTTATTGTAGCTCCTGATGAAGATGGCAAAGTCCATTGAAAGCTAGAGATTAATAAAGTATAAAGAGTCATATTTGCTTGAACTTTGTCGAAGTACCCAACAAAAGGCGGAAGCTTTATTTTTCACCTATATATATATATATAACTTGAGACGTGGTCATTGTCGTCTCTCTCTCTATATATATATGAAGAGAGAGAGAGAGAGAAAATAAGCATGCGGAGAAAGGTATATAACAAAAAGTAGGAAAGTAATGGGCAAAATCCGCAAAACGGAGGAGTGGATTCGAGCAGAAAATAGGATAGGTAACCTGGGCGATACGTATTGCATATGGAACTAAAAAAGTAGATACACATGCTCACACATCCGGATGCGGGTGTAACCTGAGGAAACGAAGATAGGGAGGGGAAAAACGACACACGAAGTCCACAACAAGAGTCAACCTACACATTGTAGTATAAAATGGCTAGAAGACCTCGAGTTTTTAAGGAGACATCTAACTACAACCCGCGGTCGGTTAGAGCCACTTGCTGATGTTCTTCAAGCCCAAAGGATCTACAAAGAGAATTCTCTTCCCACGTCACTTGGGTGTAGTTCCAAAAAACTGTTTCTTCCTGTTTATTTACATTATATCAAACAAGCAAATATAAAAAAATCATATTTGCATCCCTAACTTGAAGTGCCAAAATTCATCAATATTGATTTAGCCGTCTTAGCGTGAAAAAAAAACACAAACGTACATACAGGCTTTCGCATTTATAATACCTATTAGTAGGGACTGTTGATACTTAAAATTGAAGCTCACTTGCACCTAACTTTCTCTTTACGTATTAATTTTACCCCTATTTATTGTTTTATGGCTGGTTCATTCTATGTATGTTCATGCAAGATTTTAGCGAAGTAACCATTTACCACTTACATTTTTCACTAAATAAAGCTTTTATTAGGTTCACGGGCTTAGTCTGCCACTTATAGGAATTGATACAAAATTACTTCGTTTCTTCATTTTGTGTCAGCCATGTCTGTTATTTTAGGTTACTTGCATTACACATAAAAATACTGCAAATTAGAAAAATTCTGAATTTCCCATGACAAAGTAAAGAATAGATGACTGATTGGTTTTTTGTTTTTCTGGCATTTCGGTCAATTTGTTATGATTGAAAATAAAATTTTCTTTGACGTTCCGGTTTACTCTAAACTAAACCTTCTTCAGTAGTTTAGTCGGCTTGCAATACCACAGTTAGTCCAAAGATAAAACACATAAACGCATGAAACATTTAGGGCTTGTAGGTGATACATATATTTCGATAGTTCGTCTTCAGACGACGAAACATTGCTTTGGTAGAGTTTGGAAGAGTCTAATAAGAAAAAAGATATTAGGTTTATCCGATTAATATTGTGAGAGAGATGAAAAGGGGAGGTTAGTGTTCTTTTTTCCTGCAGTGCTTCAAGTTGAAGAACGATTTATTTACTTCCGAATGTCATTAAGTAGTTTTATGTAACTGCATGATTATAAAAAAAGGGAAATAGAGAAACAAGACACCAACTGGAGAAAGGCTATATATACAAAAGAAATATTGGCAGTATTTCCCATTTCCGTGGCCATTTCAAGCTTGCGTTACTAATATCACATAAAAACGCCTTTCCCTTACTAAATCAATTAATTTTTCTATGGAAGCAATCTTTCGAACGAGGTGTTCCACGAGTTCTTTGTATTCTGACAATAAAACGCAAGAACGCGAACGTCCACACTGACCGGCGTAGTCTGACTACCGCTGTGTCTGTTCGACTCTATAGATATCTATTGGTTACGAAGAACGTGGAACGCAAAACGCGGAATCCGGAACGCTTTCTGTCTGCGCGAGCCCTTACGGTTAAAGTACAGACCGCAAAATTCACACTGCTTGCTATCTCAAAAAAAAGAGAAGGAAAAAATTTGCATAAAAACTGTATGAAAATAAAAGAGGTAAGCAAAGATCATTCCAAATGATATAAACAAAAACTATAAAATTATTAGATCAGATACAGGGTTGGGAAGATGCAGAAATTTGATTACGTATTTGTATTTTATTATTTAAATTTATTTTATCAAAATGTTACAAATATTATCCAGATTGCCAACGTCTTTTCTGACATTTATCGATGATCTGTAATTTTTTATATCAATCATTTTTATTGCATCGCTTATAGTAGCTGCTATCCTGGTCAATTATTTGCTTATTATATCATTGAAAATGACTTTATCTTTGTTCTCTGTTAACACAGATGGCATAGCTCTCACCAAAATGCTCGATAAGTTGCTATTTGATAAGGCAACAGTATGTTTTAAAAGTTTCTGTTATACAAAAATCAATTGACCGAAATACCATAAAAACGAAACAACCTTGCCAGAGCTGTATAGTCGTCCCAAGTTCTAAAAATAATTTCAGAACGTTCGGTTCCATTATAGGGAATAATTCCTACAGAATAAAAACTATTTAAACAATAGGCGGACGGTTAATTACCTGAAGCAAAGCTTACTGGTGATTATGCTGTATTAAACCCCCATGTATCTTAAGGCTTTGGGGAAACAGAAAGGTAGCCAGAAGGGAGATGCACTCTATACGATAAGCTATTACGACCAGAAAGGGATGAGCTTTTGTTAGATGGTAAGACCGCAACCGGTCTTGGTGCGAAAGACTACCATACTGCACAGTTCCTCATAGGAACCCTTATAAATCGTATATTTTATTTTCTCAAATTTGTTATTTCGTATATTTGACATTCCTTTTTGCATTTCTGATTTTATAACAGCTCTTAGTGAATGGGAGCGAATAAGTAAATGAACATTAAGTAGCCGTTACAATCTCAACCACAAGGGAAGGGTCAACGTTGAATCTCGTCTACTCGTATGTCTTGAGGGATATATCCCAATTTTTTGGCAGTAGTATATGTGTACGCTTTCAACCCTGGTCATTCTACACACTTGTTAGTACATCTTCCACACATGACAGATTTTCCCTTACATTCGTCCCTGAAACCTGATAGTGAAATATTTTCAACAGACGTATTGGTTGCACAGCAACTCAACGAACGTATGACTGTGTGCACGAAAAGCTGTGTGCTGGTCTCACGTCTGACCGCACACCGCTTACTGCTGGCGATGACTCACGGCTGACCAGCAATGTAGGTCAGGGGAGACCTTTTGGATGGCAGCGTTATCGAATCCATTTAATTTTTTTGTTATACATTTCCGTAGCTAACCTTTTTTTTGTAGAGGCTAACTTCTAAATAATATAATCCATGATGATCTGCTGACAGCGTTGCGTGGGAAGTGCAGAGTCAATCTACTTGGGGTCATTTTCCTTTTTGAAAACTAAGGTCTGCACAGGTTTTTTGTGAACAGTCCCTGTGCCTTTAAGTATTTTTCCGAAAGCTCGGTCTTCCTTATTATCCCGCCTATCCGTGAGATTCATTTTCACAGTGTTCATTGAATTTAAAGCAACGTGTGTAGTAATCATTTCCTTTTTATACTCAAGTCTTGAATAACTTCAATCAGTTCACCCTCCGCAGGCTGTAATACGATTTTTAAGGGCGGATCTATGACTGTAAAATAGTCGAGGTTCGTGCTTACCCATTTTGCCTCAGCATTTTATTACGCTGGGTCTTGGGCTTTACCCTCCAGGACACTTTAATTTAAAACACTTTGAATCAAGCTGATAAAGACCTACTTAATGAAAAAATTTGCGGTTTATGGCAGTGTGCATAATATTAGGCACCAGCCATATAGATTTTAAACAGCTTGGAGGGTACATGAAGAGTTTCAATATTTTTTAAGGTTTTAAAATAGAGGCATCAAAGACTTAGTTCAGAAAATTGAGTCGGTGTTTTTTTACTAGAGTTTCTTTAATGCAGAATTAGGTTATGACCAAAAATGCAATTTAACTGAAGAAGCTTCTGAAAACGGAAGACAATTCAACCAAAATTATTTTAACGAGATTCTAAAACTTTCGAAAGTCTTGTAGACTCCTCTAAAAAACGTGGTCATAGGATACTGTACTGTGTAATTTTTAGAACTAAACCCGCCTGTTTCCTATGTCCGTGTGTTGTAAAGTTACGTCAAAATGATCCCTATAATATAAAACCTATTCACAGCGATCGAAACCTTTTGTAATATATATATATATATATATATATATATATATATATATATGAAAGTATCAAAAATTGACATAGTTGCACCAACCTACGTCGATACACTCGCAAAATATTGTTTAAGCTGCACTATTTTTTGTGGTGCGTTAATTTCTTGGAAAAGCAAATTACGTAGCTCTGAAAATAAATATACCTTTCAAAAACATGAATATAATCTTAACGATAGTCCCCGGAGTCTTTGACCAAGTACCCGGTACTCGGCGTTTTGAAAAAAGAAGTGCTCTGTGTACCCCTAGCTATGACTACAATTACTCTAATGGGTCTCTTTTCTGTTGCAGATGTCGTCTATGTCATCCGAAAGACGATGAATGCGATTAACTTCACAAGTCTCGGTACAAACCTCACCTCCCCCAGGGACCACGAGAACTTCTTCCCCATTGTGATACAGATCGTGCAGACCATTTTATTCAGCGTAGTATGTCTGGTCGGGCTGATAGGCAACACGCTGGTCATCTATGTGGTCATACGTTTCTCCAAGATGCAGACGGTGACCAACATGTACATAGTCAATCTAGCTATAGCGGACGAATGCTTCCTTATAGGTGAGACTTTTCAAATTAATTTGCCCTCAATACACAATGCTGCATGTATGACTAAGCTAAGAACATTGTAGTAGCTTAATAGTAGAAGGCGTACGCGAAGTATTTTGGAATTACATTCATATTCATTTGTATACGGTATTAGTGTCGAATTTTTCGAAATGACTCTACACTTCCTACGCGACGGCGTCATTATTTCATAAAGGATTAAGTTCAGCAGAAGTAAAATTATTTAGGAACACGTACAATAAAAAAATTGCCAATCAAGTTAGTCAAACAGGCTCATACAATTAGTCCGTAAACATTATTACCTGCCCTACCGATACTTACTGTCCATCTGGCAACGTTGCCCCCTCCCATATCGTCCGGCGCGTAGAATTACCGGGGGTGGGAGCGTCTAATATACTAATATAAAAGCAGAAATATACCATTCCCACCCATGAAAGTATTTTCAAAAATATTCAGGACCCTCTGAAACGACAGAAAACTAAGTTGAGAGATTTCTATTTTTTTCGATTTTGGTAGTAACAGCGTGTAAAAATTACGATAGGCGGGCCAAGGAATGACACCAGACAGATCGGCAGACAGCTAGACCGAGGAAAATGGGTGACATGGTTAATTTCTCATTTTCGAGATTTTTCGCGATTACAATACATCCTCGCCCACTGGCGTAGGGAGTGAAAATGGAGGACACGTACTGAAAACCAGTTTTTTATAACTCGGAAAAACTAATACCTAGTTAAGATACATTGTTTAGTATCTAAAAAATTCGTGGATATTCATAAATACTTTTTATATTATTCCTCTATTTCCAAGTTTTAGTACCAAAATTCAACTCAAGGCTCAAACTGTCTTGTGTAAAAGTTTTATTTAGAAATCCAATGCCTCTAACTAAATGAAACAAAGTGAAGATTGAATGAATATTTATGAACAAATATATAGAAAATGCACCCTTCGTTTCTTTGTCGATAAAGGTCAACTCATGCATGGTCTTCTTTCATCCCTTAAATTATTCTTCAAGTAGTTTGATCCCCTAGAGTGAGCCTTCACCTTCTAAGCAATCGACTTTTAGAATTGCATGTTTTGAGTATTTTAACTGGAACGGTTATCAAAAAATTGTATGCTGCTACAAATGCTTCAAAGACTTGACCACTTAGGTTTTACTTTTCTTCTGATTTGTCTCATCTTACAGGAGCTTAGGTAGGGATGTGCAATTGAGTCTATTTCGCAAGAAATAGAGAGCTTCGTGTGGAAAATTCGAGTTAAATTCCTATTCTTCGAAAAACTCCATGCTCCTCTACTGAGAGCATTGCTCCTCGGCGAAGATTTTAAAAAATATTGTTTGATTTATATTATATCGGAGATATTCAGTAAAAAAATTTGGTCACAAATCACAGTTGTACTTTTTTAAATCAATGATCCGTACGTTATTGCATTAACGGATAGGCACTTTTAGAGAGTAAGATTGATACAATCTACTACAGGGTTTTGATTACTACTTGCTAGGTTATAAGCTAATCAATTTTCAAAAATAAATGTCATTAGGCTTTTCTAAGTTAAGCCAAAATTTGTAGTCAGTAAGTAAGTAAGTTTCATTAATCTAAATATTTAAAACACGCATGACAACAGCGCGTCGGTCTTTCATCACTCTTATCGAACCGACAGTCGATCGCAAACGGTAACAGTGATTAGTATGTTGTTTTGTTTTTGTTCGCGTACGTCCTCGTGTTTATTTACAATGTTCTCGAATCAAAAGTTCGCCGACATGTTGTTAGTTTACGGTGAAACTCGTCAGAATTCAAATCTTGCAGCTCCAATTTATCGCGACAGATTTCGCCAACGGGTACACCCAGACAGAAGGACATTTGTGCAAGTGTACCAAAGACTTCCGATACAGGAAGTGTTCAGCCCACTAATATTCGCACTCGTGAAAGACAGGTTACTGTAGAGCAGGAACAAATTGTAAATATCGTGGAAATCAGTGCAGATATCAGCACTCGGGAATTAGGCCGCCGCGTAGAACTATCGCATACCATAGTCCATAGAATCTTACGGGAAAACTTGCTTTATCCCTACCATGTACAACGAGTGCAGGCCTTGTTACCAGAAGACTATCCTCGCAGACTAACATTCTGTCAGTGGTTTTTGCACAAAAACATTGAAAATCCGGATTATTTTAAAAACATTCTAGCGACGGACGAATGCACTTTTACGCGAGACGGGATATAAAATTTCCATAATACTCACACGTGGGCACAAGAAAATCCTCATACCATTCGTGCAGGTAATTTCCAACAACGTTTTAAAATAAATATTTGGGCGGGTATTCTTGACGATCAGGTAATTGGCCCTTTCGAGTTACCCCCAAACTTGTCAGGAGAAGGATACCTTAGCTTTCTAGCCAATAACCTATCAGAACTTTTGGAACAGACCTTAGACAACATGCCATTACAACGGAGACAGAATTTGTGGTTTCTTCATGACGGGGCACCACCACACATTTTTAGAGGCGTCATTCAGTATTTGAGTGAACATTATCCAAATCGCTGGATCGGCCGAAATGCTCCTGATCCTCGAAAATGGTCAGCAAGATTTCCTGACCCCAATCGGATGGATTTCTGGCATTGGGGAGAACTTGAAGGGATGGTTTATGTGGCTGGTCCAATAACAACTGAAGCACAACTTCGCGAAAAAAAATTTAATGCGGCTGAAATAATAAATGGACAACTTCGAGGACCGAGGACCTAGAGTAAGAAGAAACTGGGTTCGTCGTAATGAAGCTTGTGTGGAAAGTGGAGGACGACATTTTGAACACCTTCTTTAACTACAAAAAAGTGGAGTGTGGGTTTTAAAAAGAAAAACAACGTATCTATCAAAATTGTGTTCCCTATTTATAAGTGGATTTTTTGTTCAATAAACTTTCACATACCAGGTGAAGCGCTGAGACAGTTAGTGGTAAGCCCGTTTTTTAATTGTTTGCATTTTACGAGTACATTACCTAAGAGCCAAAAATAACTAACTCCATCTTTATTTACACTGCGTTCCGTCGTAATTCGCGTCTGGCATTGCGGCGTTGTCAGATTTTATTTTACTTTAAAGTCGCTTTTCTCTAAAAAAAATGCCGTTTTGACCCCCCTGTTATATGAAACTTTTTGCTTCTTTTAACCCCCTCTATCACCCACTTAAATAATGACTATCATAACGTTTGCACCCTGTATAGTGCTCACTCCGAGACTGTAATCATATGAAATGTTTTCATGCCTATTCCAGCTGCTCAATAACTAGGAATCAGCAAGTACATAACATGGAAGTGAAATAAAAGAAGCATTTTTCTTTACGATATAAATACATAGTTACAACTATAACATGTTTGATTTATATCTATGTACATACTTTAGGAAGCTGATAACATTTCACTCGGTGATACGGGTTCACGAGCATAAAAGGATTTGCTTATACAGGGTGTTTCAGTTTATTATTGCATAACTTTAAGATTCGATAGAACTTTTAATATTAATGCATTTTATAAAATAAAGTCTATATAAACCTGAGTCGAAAAATGCGTGGCTTCCGAAATACAGGGTGTTTAAATTTACTTTCTAAAACAGTTTTTTTTTAAATATTTCGAACAATATTTGATGCACAACAGTGAAAATTGGTATACAAGGGTTTTTTGGTACGACAAAACGAACCATGGGCATAGTTTTACTGTAGCCGCTAGAGGGCGCTCTCTACTGTACCTGTAGTGTATTAAAATGACCAAATAATTTTTTCTTAGTGCAATTTTTTGCTTTTTGAATAAAAAAACTGATTCTTCGCACTATTCAACATAAAAAAGCTCTTTTGTAAATTTTCGTTATAGTTAACCGTTTTTGAGATAATTCGATTTTTAAGGTTCGGTGCATTTTTATGTTGAAAAGTGCGAAGAATCAGTTTTTTTATTCAAAAAGCAAAAAGTTGCACTAAAAAAAAAATTTCGGTCATTTTAATACACTACAGGTACAGTAAAGAGCGCCCTCTAGCGGCTACAGTAAAACTATGGCCATTGTTCGTTTTGTCGTACCAAAAAAACCCTTGTATATCAATTTTCACTGTTATACTTCAAATATTGTTCGAAATATTTAAAAAAAAACTATTTTAGAAAGTAAATTTAAACACCCTGTATTTCGGAAGCCACGCATTTTTCGACCCATGTTTATATAGACTTTATGCATTAATTTTAAAAGTTCTATCGAATCTTAAAGTTATGCAACAATAAACTGAAACACCCTGTATATGGAGACACCTTTTCCAATGAGACATCGCAGTCCTTTATACACATTCTGTTATAGTTAGAAAACTTCTGTCCATCTTCAAAGTCTGATTTCTTTGACTAAATTATGAAATACGCCTTGCTGTCTTCTGTACTTAAAAATTAGATGAGTACCGATAGTCGGAAGTTTTCTTTAAGAGTAAATAGCAACTGCTCAGTTTAAGCCTCCAAAATAAATGTAATGTTCCTAATATTATAGCTAAATTCGCGTCTATATGATCAGTACGAATTTCCAGCAACCCAATTCGCATTCGCAATTCGCGTTTATATGACCAAGGCTTAAGGGATGTGCCTACATAATTATAGGCAAACTAACTATACGTCGGGAAAAAAATATGTCAATATCTGAACTGTTTTAAAAAATCTTAAAAGATGAGGATGTTTTCGGTATATATAGTTTCATTTCAGTAGAAATATCAAAAAATCGATAGCTTCTGCAACGCTAGTGCAACACCAATGCAACACGCATGTCCAAATAAGCGTCGTACTTACGTTGCCTAGCAATGACAGTGAGGGATTGCGCAGAGCGCCGCTGTTTGCTGACAACGAGACACTGTAGTTTCCAGGCCTTATACGGCGCGCTCCTTCTGACATACGTGTTGCACTGGTCTTGCATGCGACTCTCTTTCTCTCTCGCACCCATTGAAGGCCAAGACTCAAAAAATAAATAAATTTCTCTGTATGATGTATCGACAGCACCTAAGTCAGTGGCTTACGATTTGTCAGACTACTCTTTCAATTTAGTACTTGGTTATAGGCGCTATAAGATCCTTAGCTATACTTGAGTACATACAACTTAATTATTGCCAAGGCCTTGATGTTTTTAAGATTAAATTGCCTTCTCTATTTCAGGAATACCGTTCCTCATAACGACCATATGGCACAGGCACTGGATCTTCGGCCATTTCGCATGCAAGGCCTACATGATCTCCACTAGCATAAACCAATTCACTAGTTCAATTCTTCTGTGCATCATGAGTGCGGATAGGTACTTGGCCGTATGCCATCCTATCTCGTCTCCAAGATGGCGATCTCCCATCGTATCCAAAATAGTTTCGTTTCTGGCTTGGACGTTCAGCATTATCCTGATCATACCCATCATCCAGCATGCGAAAGAAGTTGAGATGGATGGTAAGTAAAAGCTGATTTTTTTATCGACTGACTCAATTTGGTGCGTAAGTTAGGTGTTAGAAGGTGATGGTTTGTCAGATTTCCATGGGAGACACAAAACCTAAGTTCCGTTGAAAATAGTTCGGCCAAGCATTTACCTCTTCGTTAAGACCCTAAGACATTGATTGTGTCTATTACAGGAAACGCTGCTGCGAGAACTGTCTGAGCGACAGCGATTAAATGTCAGCGGTAGCGTTAGACGGCTGTAGCTTTTGAAAACGTTTTGATATACAGGGTGACTTTGAAGTTGAGTCATTAATTTTCAGATAATGATTGTAGAAGGAAGATAAACCAAAATATGTGTGTAAAAATAAAAAAAATTTTTAAGAAAGGTTACCTTGTTTTATAAAGTATCCTTCCGACAAGTATTTCAGTGCGGACCTGTATTTGATCGTGTGGTCTTGGAGCATCGGCATGCCCTCCCCTGTGAGGTCTTAAGTCACCTGATTCACGAGCCCTTTGTACTACATTAACAAAGGCATGAGGAGTTGGTTGCACTCGATTGGGAAACCGATCCGCGTAAATCCGTGATGCCGCGGCAGCATTTTGTAAAGACTCCCCTCCCGTAAATAAGAATCATGTCCACAAGTTCAGCATTTTCGTAAACATGTGCCATTTTCTATTTCGTTTGTGCTACGCAACAAACACCACTATTCACTCACGCGTTACCAACTGACACATTGACTGAATACAACTGAATAAAATTGTAGTAAAAACATCGTGATAAGCGTTTGAAATTCTTTCGCTTTTTTGTTTCCGATGCGATGAACCAATAAGGCGGATTATATCCGTTGTTGCTAAACACGAGCACATATATTATTATTGAGACAGGGCGGTACTCAAACTTCTAAAGGGCTATAACTTTATTACTTTAATTTTATAATTTTACCACAAAAATGTTAAAGGAAAAAACATTTCTTTTGATCAGATCTACTCACTGTTAAAATAAATGACTCAACTTCGAAGTCACCCTGGATGACATCGCAAAGCGCGCGGCGACTGATCAGGAGACCGAAGAGTCTACCACTGCGGCCACCGCCCGGCTAGCTGATACTGCCTTCTAGATATTGGTATATTCTGGTTTTCTATGTTTATCTTCAAATTCAGGCCCTTTGCCGCCTCCCGCATTTCGACCACTGTTTTTCTCATCTTCTCCAATCTTCCTCCTCTAAAGCCCTATCTCTCATAGTTTGCCTCATGCCGTCTTTCCATGAAATTGTCGGCCTTCCTCTTTTTTTCCTATGTTGGGATATGTAACTCAATCCATCCTTCGCCCATTCTCATCACAAGGCCATACCACAAAAGCTGTTTCGTTTCTATCCTATCTACACTGGAGTATACTCTATTTGTCCTATACCGTATAACTTTTGAACTTGATAACTCGATACATGCATGCTCATGCGCCCGACTACGTGGTAAATGGCTGAACCGGCAAAAATCCTAAAACAGTTGGGCTGATTGTGGCGTCAGCCGCTTTTAAAGGCGTCTAGCATCTGAAATGTCAAAATATGGACAGCGTTCATTGGGTTTCCTTGTTGATAGTCGCAAGCAGTGCATTGCTAAGAGCGCTTTCGAGCATGCAATACTTTTACTAAATTTTATAGCTGCAATAGAAGAGTAAGAAACATATTTCATGTAATGTCGTATAAGCTGCTATAATACGTCAGTCATCCTTGTCAAATTTTGTGGTACTTCTAATAATAAATTCGGACAAGTATATGTGCCTACATGTCGCAGACAATATTGCCAAGGTATAGCTGATAAAGCCGAGATATAGTTTTGCTATATGCTGCTATATGGTCATGATAGCTCGGTTATAATAGTTGCCTGGGTTTGTCGTTGTTGTCACAAAAATATTGCTAGTTAAATGCTCTGTTAGAGGTAAATTTTTATCGCACTTGCGCACTGTATTTTTCCAACTTGAGGCAGCAGTGTTTCCAAAACCAGCATCTATTATCTCTAATAAAATTATATTTTTTTTTCACAAAAGAATAGGCGATGCATGCCTACTCTCATTACGACAAACCTTCGTATCGGACTTTGACCAGGCATGATGGTCCCACTTCGTGGTATAATCAAAAGAAACGCTCAACAGTATTTCGGACTAGCCAAAATCTCCACTCTGCGATTTGCCCAATAATTTCTAGGCTGCACCGCACGTTGAAGCTTCTGCCTAAGCCTAAAACATGGATTAAATTAGTAATATAGCTTTCGCTCATCTGGCCACAGACGGCCAATCATAGGCAGCTGTTTTGTGCTATTTGCCAACTCCTCAGCTTGGTGTAGGCTGGGTCTCAGCGGCCAACGAACGAAAGCTGAGCAACTATACTCTATTCAGAGTATAAGTACTATCGAAATAGCACGAAAAAGCTGTCCATGGTTGACCGTCTGTGGTTAAACTAACGAAAGCGGTATTACTATATAGTTTGTCCAATGGCGAGTAGACCATATCTGCTGTAGGACCAGCATCTAGCAGCCGCAGTGGTGAACTGGCTGTCAAATACAGTTCCAACAGATAGCTTGTTGTTTTGAATTTTTCTATTCTGCTAATAGATGGCACCTTGTGCAATCTTATTCCTTGAACAGCTCTGGAAAACAGCCATTTATTTGCCAATGTATATTTTTCTGTTAGAGAAGGATGACTTTAAAATAACGGAAGATCGAGGATATACATCTTAATTTCAGTAAATCTGTCCAGTGACCTACCTCTCAAAATGTCTTCAAGCATATAACTGTCGTCGACGAAACTGTAAATAGAATTTATAATTATTCCAAAATGACGGTCTAACGCCGGGTAAATATAATTTTGGGGTTAATGCGACGTGTATGAAACCCTCGCTGATGTTTAGACAAGAAGGGGAGCATTTTACGACTTGAAAGCAAGTCCTCGGTTTCCACCTGCAAAGCTTCTCAGGAGACCGCGGAATGAAGGCTAATTTAGATGACACGTCTATGTCTTAGCCTATCAGCATTGAAATAGGTGACATGAGCCACTCCAGGTTATTATCCCAAAACACATGAAAAGCTATAAGATCACCGATACGTTGCAGCATCAATGTGCTAGTAGCAACTAATTATTTTTCTCTGAATCTGTGCTACATATAGGATTATAAACATGACGCTCAGAAGGATTACTACGCCATTGTTTCACACATATATTTATACAAGGCAAAAGCAGAGCGTGAGAGAAATATTCTTACTCGATTATTTTTCATAATCACATTTGTTGGTTACCATGAATCAAGAGGTTACCGGGTGGTAATCCGTTGCAAAAGTACCAGGCACAAAACATATGGAAAATGGGTCCTGATCGATTTGTCTAAAAATCCAGTATGATATTTCTTGCCTTCCCGAACAAAAGTGTCCGTGGGACCAAAGCAGTCCTATGATTAGTTTCTGAGAAATAGGCGGATAAAGTTTGCCTGGATACTGAAAATGGGGAATGTCTAATGTCTCGATTCTAGTTCCACGTACATTGAAACAAACTACAAAAAATATGTTTTCGCTCCAAAGTGTTTTAACATAGTCCTGTTCATACAGCAATCGCCAACCTGTCAGTGGCCGTGTCCAAGATCCCGCCACATAAATGCGGGAGAGTTGCCGCCCTTTTTGAAAAATAGGTGTAATTTTAATTCTTAACATTTTTCTTTATAAATGAAACAATACACATGTACTGCTTTAAACTGTATTGAGATACAAAAATAAACTTAAATTCTAAAGAAACACAAACAGCAAAAAAACTTTTTTTTTCATCAAAATCGGCACACTTCTGGGAGAGATGCCGCAACGAAAAAGGAGAGATGCCGCAGTATCGGCATCTCTGAAAAACTTCTAATTTTCTTTTTTTTTCTCATGTGGAGTCTAGAACAGATGTTATGCACTTCACCATACATGGGGCAAGTAACATGTAGCCATTTTAAGCATTTTTTAGTTGTCGTTTGGTAAGCACGCAGCGTTCCGGATTTTAATTTCTCTTTTTGGCCAGAGGTTCATCGTCGCTGTCGCTCCATTGGTGTTTTTCTGGCTCTTCATCTAGTTGTTTTTGTTCATTTCTTGGCACTTTTTGTTTCTTTTTATTTTCTGCCACATTGGTTGTTCTATGATTGTCAAGGCTCTTTGTTATGTTTTCGAGTGATGTTAACACAGTTGCGCTTTATTTAAACCTTTGTGTAAAGGATACAGGTACTTTTGGGATAAATAAAATGTAACTTTAATTCAATAAAAGCCATGGCAAAACAATAACATTGAAAAATAACATGCGGCATCTCTCCTTCCTGAAAATGCGGCAACTGCACTTTTTGTTGGAAGGGATGCCGCGACCAATTATCACGATCTAAATATAACATGACTTATTTAAACATAACCACAAAATACTGGAAAAACGTTACAAATATCAAATAAAACTACCTCGGTGCAAAGAACCACACTTTTTTGAGTAGCACTTAAAATTTTACAAAGAAAATTTATTCTTACCTTCCTAAATTCGAGGATAGCTCGCGATATTTCTAAAAACAAACACGTCCGATGTCATAACTGTTCGCTAAGCGATCGACTTCCATCATGGGTATCTTCGGTTGCCTACTTTATGGCATTAACAATGAAATACGGCAAAAACGGCATCTCTCGCGCCGCGACAACTCTCCCGCATTTACCCTAGACGGAATTCACAACTCCGGATCCCAGACACAGTCTTCGACAATTGTATTAGTTTTTTGGATCATTCTGGAGAGAAAGGTCCTAAGTATCTTTTCTAGAGGAACTTTAGAAAGTTGTACTATTTTCGAGTTATAAGCGACTTGAAGTCTGAAATAACCATGAAAATGGTTATATTCATTGCTCAAAAACTCGATAAGAAACTATTATTTTTAGTGGCATCTTAAAGTCGCATGTATTCTAAAAAACGTATTTTAAAAATCGGCAGAGGACAAAATAGTCCTATAATAGTCCAAGCGACCACCCTTCGGACTTCTGGAAACAACCCATATAAGTATCTTAAATTGTTATCTAACAAAACTTTAGTAATGATTTGTTTTTTTTAGGAAAGAAATCATGCGTGATAGAATGGGGCACGTATTTCAACTCCAGTGATAACTTTACAGATGAAGTGGACGTTGGGTCTGCGAAAATCTTTACCTCGTATACGTTTATGTGTAGTTTTGCTATTCCCCTGTGTTTGATTCTCGTCTTCTACTGGCTGGTAATAAGGAAACTAAAGACTGTGGGTCCGAAGCACAAATCGAAAGAGAAGAAAAGGTCCCATAAGAAAGTCACCAATCTCGTGCTAACTGTGGTAACAGTGTACGTCATTTGTTGGCTGCCATATTGGATCACCCAGCTTGCCATCAATGGGAGTAATGACAAGTAAGTGTTACTCAAATACTTCAATTCGTAGGTGAAAGTTACACGATCAGTATATACTGTGACCTATCAGTATTTAATTTATCGTAGAATGTGTTGTTTATTGACCATCATGTGTGTATCCGGTAACTAAATAAGTTCGTGCGGTTGCTGTATATCGCTCATTGCCATGGATGTTGTTGTTCGATAGGATCTTCGACAGGTTGTGGACGCAAATTCCAGGACAACGTGCCAAGAACTTGCAAAAATGTTCAGAGTGAGACCTCAAACTATTCGTTTGCATCTTCATCAGCTAGGAAAGACGTGGAAGTTAGGCAAATGGGTCCCACATGAACTGACAAATGACAACAAATTAAGTCGTCCTACCATTTGTTCAGCAAACATTTCACGCAACGCTAATGAACCATTTCTTAATCGGATATTAACCTGCGACGAAAAATGGATCCTGTATTCGAATTCTAAGCGTTCTTATCATTGATTGTCGCCTCTGATTCAGTACTACATACGCCCAAGGCTTCTTTGCACCCGAACAAGGTTTTGTTGTGCGTTTGGTGGATAGCAACTGCAATTGTCCATTATGAGTTTTGGAAAGGGGTCAAACCATCACTGCTAAATTGTATTATGAGCAGCTTCAACGAGTACAAGCAGCACTCATCCAGAAACAGCCTTCTTTGATCAATCGGAAGAAAATATATTCTTGCAGGATAACGTCAAGCCTCATATCGCAAAAGTGACCCAAGTAAAAATTTCTGAACTCGGCTGGGAAACGTTACCGCACCCGCCATATTTTCCCGCCATTTCGCCCAGTGATTATCACCTTTTTTTGTCTCTTGACAATTGTATGAAGCACCGAGAGTTCACAACTCGAGATGATGTAATAAATGCAGTCTACGAATTTTTTTGCTCCAAATCCAGGGAGTTCTACAATATCGGCATACAAAATTGGTTCCCCGTTGGCAAAATGTCATTGAATGTGATAGTAATTATTTCGACGAATTCATATAGTGTCTTATTTATAATATATTAATGTACATATAGTGTCTTATTGTTCCCAATAAAAATTTATATTTTTCTACTAAAAACCGCACGAACTTATTTGGTTACCTGATACAAGGTTACGTAGGGCACATCTCTAAAATATTGGCAATTATACAGGGTGTCCCAATTTTGACCTACATATCCAAGTTGTGATTTTTTAAATAGAAAGCCTCAAATTTCATTGCATATTTGGATAAACCAATTCAAAAGAAGAAGATTGGTATAACATACTATGGGGTTTTGGTAATTAGCTACTGAAATGTAATGTCCAGAAAAACCGTCCACTTCGGCAACCCGTCAAAACCGACATTTTGAAATTTGGAGTGCTGAATTTTGTATCAAAAAAAACTTACACACCTCAGCTTTTATCTTATTTGTTACTTTTTCGAATTTTCATTTTTGCTCATACAGGGTGGTCAAAAACGCAAATTGTACTTTTTCTCAAAAATTTCAAATGCATCAGCCTGTATATTTGTGCAGGTTTTGATTCAATTCTTTAAGCTTTTTTTTGGTACAAGGTTTGATTCAGATAAAACCACAAGATTTTGAGTTATTAATCTTTTAATAGAACAACACACCAAAATTAAGGAAAAAATCACAACATCCATGGAAACAAAAGACAAACAGTGGGCTAGTTCAATATTGCCACTAAGGCCCGTATCGTCAGTCGTCCCTACAATTGTAGGGCGCCTTTATGGCCACCTTGATTGTCATAGTTTTCTACTTCTCCGTGTCAGCGCTCTATTTTGAGGTTATGTCACAAACATCTATTTGCATCAAATTGTGCTTGCTTTTGAGTTATATCATGTTTTATCAGCCTGAAATTTCCTACAATTTAAAAAGAAAACATATCTTTACAATAGGATAGCGCTGACGCTGACACGGGACAAGTGTAATCTAGAAATGTTTGAAGGAGAGAAAGAAGTATGACAATCAAGGAGGCCATAAACGCGCCCTACAATTGTAGGGACGACTGACGATACGGGCCTAAGAGTACAGATTTGACGTAAAAACTAATAACAATCAGAACAGTATAAATCAGCTTCAATAGAGAAAAACAACTATAACAACAACATAAACAAACAACTATCACTACTCAAGACCTAATCTACAAAACTGCTAGAAAATAACTCCACCACGTTGAATATACAGCCGTAGTCTTTGGATAAATGACTGTTGCACATCCCTCAGCATGTGTTCCCTTATGTTCAGAAAAGCATCCTTAATCCTTTCCTTCATATTTTACATATGAGTAATATTCCGACCACACATAGATGGGCCACCCTGTATACATCTAAACATAACAAATGCACGTTGCACAAATTGCTGCATGGGATTGAGTGCTACAAAATACACTTAATAACTGCTTTTGAGATTTGACATTTTAAAGATTGTCGATTATATATTTCCTCATTAAACAGCATTGCGTTAGTGTGCTAATATTAGGGTAGTTGATAATTACGGTGTGCATTTGTGTGTCTCGTTAACGATAAGCTATATCCAAAAGGATGTTTTACGCGTCACAGAAGAAGAAATTTTCTACGAGTGATTTCGTTAAACTCTGAATGTACTGAATGCCACGTGTTTAAAAATGATTGATATACAGCTCGCATAATCATTATCCGTATCAAGGCATTGTTACCAAGAAACTCTATAATAGCGGCTCAAACAGTACATATTCCGCTTGTCAGCTACCAGATAATACAATAAACAGGAAGCGTATGACATATAACAGGATATACGACGAACAGTGGATATTTATGGCTCATGTGAATACCATTACACGGTACATTAGGCATAGAGCTAGCTGTGTCTGGACTGGCAGTTCAGCCATATACCAAATTAAAAGAGACACTTAACGAGAAACGAATTATGTGGAGAAAAGCAATTCTTAGTCCTAAACAAATAGGCCAGATATTTCCGAGCCATTGCCGCAATTAACGAGATGTGTTCATGCCAGATCAAGTCTTCGGGGATCTACTCTGACCAGCCGAAACGAATGGCTCTTTGATAGAACTTGGGCATCCATCTGAGAACTAACGCGCTTCTTGTTAGTCAAGGTGTAACGGTGTGATTTGGAAGCATTTAACTATACCAGATTGTTGCGTCCCCAAGCAGTGATAACCTCCAGCTCTCCAGTCAGAGAGGATGTCGCCGCAAGTGTTCCTCTCTCCAGCTCACCGAAAAATACCGGCTTGGCACTCTAGATTCCTGCATGTAGAGTGCGTCGACAGGCAAGCTGTGAATCGGATTTATCGTACAGGAACGAAGATCGTTGATATGTAATAGAAACAATGTCGTGACTGATCCGTGGGGAACGCCGTTAACTCATCGATTACGACGGATATCTTGCAGCCAAACAGGAAGTCAGCCACCAATCTGCAAAACCTTTCTGGGAGCTCATAGGATGGAAGTTTACATGAGAGTGCAACATGCTTCACCATAAAACTGAGTTTACTGTACAGTTGCGTGAAGTAAGCTAGGAGGTCCCGCTGGATCACAGGTACCGGAAACCATACTGCCTGAAGGCTAATCAAGTCGTGACGCTCAGAAGCGCCCGATCGATGCACCTCTCCAACGCCTTACTTATAACGGACAGCAGAGCTATAAGCCTGTAGTGGTAGCCTCGGTAGCTCGGTGATCAGCATGTCGTTCTAATGACCCGATGCTCGCTGGTTCGAATCTCAGCCTAGGAAGTTAATTCCTTTCCATGAATTTTGTGTTGTCTATATCACGCACGTGGTGCAATATAGTCGTTTTTTCTTCAAATTGTCGTTGGATCTATCCAAAGAGTTGACATAATATTCGCCATTGATTTTTCTTTCCTTTCAATGCAAGGACTTCGTTGACTGACAAACCCACCTTCGCCTTCTTCGGCGCCGATTCGCCCGGAGAAACCCACCCTTCTGACTGCTGCTTCATCTCTCGTGTGTTGTGGAGAATCAGTTTCGTCCACGGTCACGAAACGGCGCAAAAACTCGACCCTATTGCGGTTGAACAACGCCAAATGCTCCTTCGCATGTTTGCCTTTGTGGTTCACTATGAGCAACCGCGGCACCCATGCTGCATATAGCTTTCTCGTACTCAAGTCTTGATTCAAAATCGAAACCATTGAGCCATGTAACGACATTCAGCTTTGTCCATTTTTTTCACAATCCACGCGGTCGTCTGTCATCAACGGCTGACACACACAAACTAAATGACAAAATTCGACAGGGGACAACTGACAGGTGCTTTTTGACAGGAGCAAGGGTTGCCCTTCCAGTTAAGAGGCGGGTAATTTTTGGCTATTAAAACTACTCAAATCCTTTCTAGAAGGAAGGAAATTCAGAATCAATCTTATACTCGATTTTCATTCACGACGTCCCCCATCCCAGCGACTGCGAAGTCTATCTCTATGCCGACGTTACCGCATTAGTAGCCCACTCATGTTCTAGTCTAGTCCATGACAGGCTGCAAGAAGCGGCGGACGAGGTTTTGGAGTGGGCGAATCGGTGGCTAATCTAAATTAATTTTTCAAAGACACAGGCTATCTATTTTACAAAAAAGCGCCGTGGTGCCCCGTCAGACATTACTGTGGATGATGTTTCGATACCCTGGGCTAACAAAGCCAAATACTTATGTCTTACACTCGACAAGGATATGACTTGGCAGTCACACATTGAACAACTGAAAATTAAATTCCAAATTACATTTCGGCAATTGTATCCTCTTTTATGTAGAACATCAAAATTGATACAAAACCATCATCAGACCTGCAATAACCTACGCATGTGCGGCTTGGTGCTTTTTAGCTAAGTCACATAATGCGTAAACTACAAGTTCTGCAGAGTAGAACTCTCAGAACAATAACTAATGCCCCATGGTATGTATCAAACGATACCATCCATAGAGATCTTGACAACCCCTACCTTAGGGATTTCATCATAGATACGGCACAGCGGCGCTACCAGCAAGCGGAATCG